CATTTTGCCAGGCACCATCCAGACTTGTTTACGAACTCTAACATTTCTCTGGCAAAATACCACGTGTTATTTTGACTTGTCTACAGACCTTAACAAATACTGCCTCAGCTCCACAGGCTGCTACGTGGGATAATTCTGTCTCATCCAGAATATGAAGATCTTGGAGGCCATGAAGCCAAAAAGGTGCTTACACACAATATTTCATGAAACAGGTGTGTGGTATATATTCACATGGTTCATGATGGACATGTCCAGGTTCCAGTGTATTGGTTAACCCCAGTTCAACCTTAGGTCTATGTGGTCCCAGTCATACCATGGTTCCCTCTCATGCTGTGAGCAATCAGGGAACTTTGGATGGTCACCATACCCCATGCCATAATCCAGGTAAAGTTCTCCTAGTCTTCCACTTGCATACTATACTTCTTGGTGGTGGCTGCTGGCTCTTTTGGGGTCTTAGAATGAGGCCCTGACAGCATGTCCTTGGTAATGTGGGAGGCTATCCATGGCCTCTAGCAGCTCAATGTTCTGGACAGCCCTTCACAGCCACCAAACTCCCAGGGGTCCTGAGCCACATTCCTTGGGCTTCCAGACTTTTTATCAATGGTTTCATAACTTGTGTCTTTGCCTCCAATATCCTTCTCTTCAAAGACGTTCTATATATTGTTGCCAAATTAACTTCCTGAATTATAATTTCCTATTATACCACTTGTATGTTTGATAACTTGGAGATATTCTAGCCTTGAAACCAAGGCTTCTTAACTGTGTGATATTGGATGTATATCACTCTCTGATCTGTTTCATATGTAAAAATAGAAGTGTTAGACTAGACAATCTAACATCCACTTTACCGTATTTTCTCTATTCACATTATCCCCCCAAATTTATGGACTTCCCTTACTTTATACAAGGAATCTTGTCCAGATGTTGATCCTCTGTCTAGCATATTTTCTATGTGTCTCCTTCGGTACATCCTTCTTCCTTCTCTACCTCTTCCATGTGCTGGAGAAAAACATCTCCTTAGCATACCACCGGGCTCCCTCACCCACCAGCTTCTCTTAGCATTCAGCAAATGGGAGCTACTGACTAAAGTCAGGTGGTGCAAGGAGAGAAGCCTGTGTCTCTTTTTTTTTTCCTGAATCTTTCTTTATTTAGGGATCATGTCCCTGGCAGTTGTTGTTCCCTTTGTGACCATAGCTCCTGCCAGAAGGCCTAATGGATTCCAGAACTTACTGATGTCTGCCTACCTTCTCCTTAAAACTAGTTTTGTTGAATAACCTTGCTCACACTTTTGTGTTTAGTCTCTCAATTAGGCTCTTCATTTAAATCACTTGATGGGAACCTGACTCAATGTGTCTGAAAAAAAATAAAATAAAATTTTTAAATATCAATGTTTGTTGAGGAACAGATGAAGTCTAGGGGAGAGAGGAGAGGGTAGGAAATATAATGGGGAAGAATATTGATCAAATTATGATTTTAGGCAAAAATGTGTTTTAATATATGTACAAATATGTTATTATGAAATATTTCTGTATAATTGATATGCTCTAATAATTTTTAAAATAACTCAGGTAGAAGTACTATATAAAAGCTTCTCATCTCAGAGGCTGGGGCTATAGATCAGTGGCAGAGTGCTTGTCTAGCCTGTGTGAGATACTGAGTTCAATTCTTAGCACCACATAAAAATAAACAAATAAAATAAAGGCATGTTGTCCATACACAACTACCAACAAAAAATTAAAATTAAAAATCTCCTCATCTCTTGGCAAATTAGAAATTTTTAACACTTCACATTATCACTGGAGGCCAGATATAAACCAACTAATCTTTTCATTCCAGCAGAAATTACAGAAAAAAGAAATTTCTTACCACAAAATTTAGTCACTTAATAATTTTTTCTAATAGACTAAGGACACATAAGAAAGAAATATGAACAAGAGCAGGCATTATACAAAGTAAAACCACTGCCTACTTGCTGAAAAATGTCCCCAAATAGAGCAATAACCCAAATTCAGAGGAAGTATTGTAAGACTTTTGAAAACAGGTGATCTAGAGTTAATGAAACATACTAGAAAGAGGAGATCTTTCAAAGTATCCTTAGGCATCCACTATACCTTCCAATTACAAGTAATCTCAAAGCACCATTTACACAATATCCATCAGGCATCTATCTCTTATCATTGGACTACTTACTGAAAAGTCTCACATGGACTGTTACATATTCTTTCCCTTGTGTTGATTACCATTTGTGTAAGTGCTCACAACCAGAGAAATAGGCTAATAAATCAATAGCCAAGATGAAAAGAAGAGATGTCAGCAATATTCAAATTTATAGAAACCATGATATTCAGTGTGGACACATGGTGGTTAGTGACTTTCACTATTTATAAAGCTAGGTTTATAGGATGCTTTCAAGTCTTGATTATCTATCTGATATGTTCTTCCCTTGCACCTGTCACAAAGAACTGTTTCGATTCCTCAGATCTCAGCTGGAAGGATCCTGTTGACCACTATTGGGAAGCAGTCTCAAATAAGCAAGTCAACCAGCTCTTGAAGATAGAATCATTTGTTCAATAATTAGAACACCAACCTCAAGAAAATAGGGCTGCATAAATTTGATGTCTGGAACTGGTCATTAAAATGGGTGTACTAGATACAATACTTAGTTTTGATTCAGTAGTGTCACTGGTAAAATGCAATATTAAGTGTGCTTTTTTTTTTAACAGCTGTGTCATTTATTTGCTCCACAGTTATATAGAGGATTGAATATGGAGGACTGTATAAATGCTTGATTACAATTTTCTCTGACACCACTGTGTCTGTGTTGGTTAAGGGTGGAAGCAAGAGAATATGATAGCAATGATAGCTATGAGCAATTTTACTGGATCTCATCAACTAGTATCACAGTTGGTTTTTATTGTTCTCAAATACAAAATACTTTGATTGGAGAGTTCTGTTACTTTAACTTTAAAACTTAAAAAAAATAGGTGACAACATATTAGTTTTAATTATAGTATTTATCAGAATTAAATTATTTTAGTAGTGGGATATTTTCTAAGATCAGATATTACATAGAGGAAAACAAGAAGGTAATATTTGATTAATTATGTCTGAAATTTTTAACCTTAGACAATTTGTTCAAGTGTAACAATGCAAAAAACTTAGTGAGAAAATTTATCTTAATTCATAAAGAATCACTCCTTCAAAATGAGGGCTGCATACAGCAGGCCCTGCGTTCATCCCCAGCACTACAAAGGGGAAGGAGAAGGAAAAAAAACAAAACAAGCTTCCAAAATGAAACTTGTAGTTTTATATTTACTAGGACATATCAACTTCTTATCAATTAGGGCCCCATGGGATTTGGCCAGAGACATCAAAGTGACTAAAATGTCACTATTTGATGATTTTGGTTTCCCTGGCTTTATCCAGATGTGAAGAAAACTCTGTTGTCTGGCCAAGCAGTTCCAAGGTTCAAACTATTAGTATTTAAGTAAGGTTGTATCCTCTGGAAAGCTACTTCTTCATGCTAGACTTAACTATTTGATAGACATGCAGACTGTAAAATAGTGTAAATGAACATTGAAAAAAAAATAGAGCCTTCTCGGCCAGCCAGAACGTATGTTTATACTACAATCAAGAAACCAGGGCTGCCTCGGAATGAAACAAAATCTCTGCAGGTATTGTGGGTCTTGGAAGGGATTGTGTGACTATGTCACTAGAAACCCATATAATTTTTCTTTTCCACTCTTTGAATTCTTTAACAACAACAACAACAAAAAAAAAACAACCTGACTTTTGGCAGAAAGAAGAAGAGTATGTCTTCTAAACACTAAAAAATTCTCTTAGAGGCCTTTCCAAGATGTTTTGGACAGCTCTGCCTCTCGCTCCCTGGCAGCCCACTCTTCCATCAGTGTTTGCAGGTCAATAAGCCCTACACAGGCAAGTGCTGTGGAGTGCATGTGTGAGAAGACCTGCTGTTGTTGCGGTAAATGCAGTGTCCACAAATTCATTAGGAATGCATTTGTTCCTGGAAGTGCTAGCTATTCCGGTAACTGGCTGCCGCCAATGTTTTTAACCATATTCTCCACTTTTGTGCAGACATTACGGGCCAGAAAACCAGTCCTCTGTTCTCACTGCCTGCATCAGTTTGTAGTTTGTTACTTGATCAGCTCATTTTACCTTTCCTCTTGTGTAAAAGGGCAGCCTGGGACACTGTAGTTATGTCTGGGGCTTTCTTATTAGACTTTATGATGAAAAGAAGCTCTCTAGGGTAAGGAAAATTCTCAATCCACTTATTTGGTTCTAGAGATAATCATGGACATCAGGAAGAACTAAAAGATTATAGGTATGATGCAAATTGAAGGAAAATAGTTTCTACATTCCAGATTTTCTCATACAAAACAATAGAAATATTCTATGTTCTGATTCTGCTAAAATGAGAAGAGTTATTTCACTGAGCAATGTTTCATTTCTGATTTGAAGTAAGTTTTTAAAGTTTCATTCTTTCTGAGCAACACATTTATAAGCTAACATTTCTGAATGTCAATAATACTATTACTTGGAATTTATAAGGAGAAATTGTAAAAAGTAAAAGGAAGCTATGTGCTAAAAGAGCCAATATTTTATAAGCATACACACCAAACCAAACACTGCTACTTTTAGCCTGATCTGACCGCCAAGTTGAGAGGGAAAAACACTAAACAAAAATGGAATCACTGCCTTTTTCTCACAAGACAACTCTGGTCTGGTTTTCTTGAAGTAATGTCACCTTAAGAGGGTGACAAGGGTGAGCTTCCTGTGATAACAGTAGCTGACAAAACATGGCCTCAGCTTACTTGTAGTTGGCATGTTAAATCTCGTGAGAAGTGCAAGGCCTTTCTATCACAAATGGAACACATCTGTCCAGGAAATACACTTCACTGTGCCAAAATGCTTTTAGTGGATCTGCCCCCTGAGTGCCCTATCAAGCTACAATTCCCTGTCAGCAAGTACCTTGTAATTCCTTTCCTTTTATGTTGATGAAAGTCTTGATCTATTATGCCAATATTGCATATTTTCTACAGTCTCCCAGAAACTATTACTCAGTAATGTGCATAGGAGATCACACTCAGTTACTTAGACAACCAACCTCAGCTAAGAGGTTTTGGCCCTTGCAGAAAAACAGTAGCTAGAGATGGCCAGACTGTGCAATATGGCTCAAGTTCCACTTTGTGGGGAAAAAAAAGAAAAAGAAAAAGAAAAAAAAAAGACCATTGGCGAGATTAGAAAGCAGAGAAGATAATGCACTGCTTTTAGTAGGAGTGGAGAGGAGTGAGTCAAGCAGGGATGTGACTTGCTTCATTCTTCAGCCTGGTGGGTTCTGACCATATCCAGTGAGTTAGAGGCGGGTTGAGTCAAACCTGAAAGTCCCCTAGGGTTCTACTCATATTAGAAGTAGCCACAGAGCCTCAGAATGAAGCCAAGCAGCCTCTACCATCTTTCTTGAGAAAAATCACAGGATCCCAGGTGGTCTCTATGTAGGTTTTAAGTTTCTCAGACGTTCTGAAGTCTATCACATTCACAGACTCAGAGTAACAAACTGAATTCTTGAGTTCTGGAGTTTTTGGTGTAGCACAATCAGAAAAGAGTCACAGGAAGGGAACAGGTTAGAACAATTCTAAGCTGCCCTGATGTTCACCCAGACCACAGGATGAGACAAAAAAAAAAAAAAAAAATCTAGATTCAGAAGTGTAGTGAACTGAAAATCATTTGACACACCAAATTGATTTTTTTTTTTTTGGTACTGTGAATTGAACTCAGGACTGCTCTACTACTGAGCTACATCCCTAGCCCAGCCTTTTTTATTTATATTGAGAGGCAGGGTCTCTGTAAGTTTTTCAGACTGACCTCACATTTGCCATCCTTCTGCCTCTGTCTTCTGAGTCACTGGGATTACAGGCATGCAACACCACACTCAGTCACAATTGATTTTGTTAATAGTTCCCAGATGAATCAAAATGTACTGATAGTCATTGAGCTTTTATTGAGTCCTAATAGGAGCCAGCCACCATGTTGGGTGCTAAAGCTACAGCTCAAGTAACAACAAAACACATCTGATACTGTTTCATTTGTGCCAGGAAGTATTCTAAACTGTTTTCAAAATCCTAACTCATTCAGTCCTCACAACAACCTCAAGAGGGAGGTGTTCCTATTATACCAGTTTTATAGGTGAGTAAACTGATTCAGAAAGGTTCAATAGCTTGCTCCAAACTTGTTCTTAGATGGCAGAGCAGTGACTCCAACCAGGCAGCATGGCTCTGAGTTCATGCTCTTAGCCATTGCAATCTCACATTCCATGATCATTAAACACAAACAGAAGCACTGTTAGCTACATGATTTCTGATATCATAGTCCATCAGTAACAAAATCAAGCAGACAAGTCACCCATTTTTGAATACCTGGCCACTTGTGATTAGTTCTCTGAAACATCACTGCCATGGTCCACTGATCTTGTACAGCACACGGTATGCTGGATAAACTCCCTCCCTTTGGATGTGACTTCTTTTAGGGTAGTTAATCATTTGTTCTTGAACTTTTCAATAGAAACAAAACAAAGCTTCAAATTCCAAATTTTCAAAAATTGAAATCTTAAACCCTAAATTATACATCCCAAATTCACCCAAATTATGAGAACTTTGAAGACAGCAGCAACATTTCCTTAGCATTTTATTTTCTTTTGATAAGATGGTACACTTGAAGAAAGCTGCTTTGCCATGAAAGTCCTCAACAGTTGCAAAAGTTCCAAGTCATAATCCTCTGTGTATGTTTTCCAATGAATAATACAGGATTCGTAAAAGACCTTTTAGCCTCCATATCCCAAGCATCTTGAGAGGAGGATAATAAATCCCATGGCTCAGATATAATTCAGATTTTCAACTCCATATTCATATGATTGTTTAATATTTATTGACAAGCACTATTTGTTGGAGACCCAAGTCAGCCAAACATTTAAAGTAATTTCCCCCAGCAGAAAATCCAGTTTATAAAAATAACTTGGCAAATAATTTGTAAGTGATGTTCTTAAGTAATCAGTATGCCATCTAAGGAAATGTTGAAGTTGGTGTGCTATTTTAGAGAAGGAACATACAAAAGTTTCCAATACAATTTATTACAAGACAAAGTCGTAGGTGGAAGAAGTCTTAGTATTATTCTTCGGGTAGATACAGCAGATAGAAAAGCACTCCATTTAAAACATGTCATTGTGGGAATGATTTAATTACTCATTTTGGCTTTTAAATTGTGTTCAATTTTATAACCTTTTGGTTAAAAAAGAACTGCCATTTACATTATAGGTTGGGACTATTCTCAATAAAAATTTTAAGAAAGTCCATATGAAGAATTAAGTCACTACCTCTATCATAAACGAAAACATGATCTGATTTCTTTTTGATGTGACTCTAATTCTTTCATTTATTTAGTTCAATATTTATGAATCCATATGTATTTATTTATTTAGATAGACCGTTATGTAATTTGTAACTGTACAGATCAACTACTATATCCAGAGTAATATTTCAAGCACTACAAAGTGAATATGCCATAGTACCATACCTTAAGAAATTTATAGCTTAGTTGAAAATATGATTTCTGTAAGAATACCTCTTATAAAACACATACGTGACAATTAGCAGTCAATAATGTCAACTACATATTTGAAGATTTAAAAAGAAAGAATCATTACAACTTTTTTGACACTAAAATTCTTTATGGAGGATATATATCTGAGAAAGAATCTGGGTCTCTGGCTTATAAACATGAACAGACCTGGAAGAAGGTTCCAGGGAGAAGGAGAATGTGTATGAGAAGCAACCCAAGGGCAACAATGATGTATGGCATTAGTAGGAAAAGCACTCAAGAGACCGACTGAATAGGAGTATGGAGTGCCTTAGAAGATTAAGGTGCACAAAAATAAAGAGCTAACTTGAATTTCATCTCATAAAATAAGACCTCGAGAAAAGAGTAATTGTGTAAACAGAGTTGCCATTTATGCAAATATGCCAGTTAATGGATAAGCCTAAGGAAATACTAGAGATACCAAAGCCCAGCTGGGATTATTTCATGTATGGGGTCAACCAAGTTAGGGGAATATCCCCCAGGTACTAGAAAGACAACAAAGAAATGGAATATGAGAGAGGATTTGAGATTCACTGTTGATGATAAATTTATACAATCTGTCATCTAATTAGACTTTAAAACTGGGCAAATTTTCAGGACTTGATAGTAGGAGAATATCCCAAAGAGAAGAATTTTGCTGTTGAGGGTTCCACCCCCACCCCAGCATCCTCACAAAAGTAGATAAACATCTTGAAATAAGGAGAGCAAATGCATTCCCTATGACCAGGACTATTACTAAAAATATTCTTTAGGTTTTTGTCCCAGTTGAAAGCACTACTTGGGTAAATATGAGCTTTCAAGTTGAAGGTGCCACTATTCTTACTTAGACATGTTCTTCTTATTTGAGAGTGATACTTCCTCTGAGTGAGTGTTTCTCTGATAACAACAGCACATTTTGATAGTCCCTCCCACAAATTGGAAGGAAGAGTCTTGTAGTGGAGGTTGACAAGGCTCTTGGCTTTCAAATTAAGGTCAGAGAGAGTGCAGCCTTTTGTGGTCCCACTCTCACCAACAGCTTCAACACAGTTAACTATGATGGCCACTTACTGCCATCACTTCTCAGTAATTGACAGTTACATTGTTCAGTTCTACACTCTGAACCCAGTTCAGTGTAGTGGAAAGTGCAGACATTTTTTTTTATCCTAGAGGTATAGTCTCTAATTTCATTTAAGTCAGGTTCATCACAAACTCATTTAATCTAAGGCAAAATAATATAAGTTTTATCCGTTCCATCATAAGTAGTGGTTAAACTGCGCAAATGACAATTTGACATTTTGTTTGTCTCAATTTTTAGTTGATAAATAAAAATCATGCATATTTATGGTAAATAGCAGTAAGTTTTAACATATTTAAACATGGAGGGACAGCTAAATCAAACTATTTAACATATACGTTTACCTCACATACTTATTTTTGTGTAGTAAGAACATTTGAAATCTACTTTTAACTCTTCTAAAATATAAAATACGCTGTTGTGTATTTTGATAGCCTTTAGTCAAACTTACAGTCACCATTATGTATAATAAACCTCTTTAACCTATTCTTCTAGTCTATCTGAAATTTTGTGTCCTCTGACCAACATCTCCCTAGTCTTCCACCTTCCCAGCCTCTGGTAACCACTATTGTTCTGTTTCTGTGAATACAGTCCTTAGTATCAACATGGATGAAGCTAAAGGAAGTTATGTTAAATGAAATAAGACACATACAGCAAGAAACACAAATTTTGTATGATCCCACTTATAGGTATAATACAAAAGTTTAACTGAATTTTTCACAACTGCAAAAATGACATCCAAGCAGTCATTTTAATTCAGAAGTAGATATACAT